CTCCTCCTCGTATCCCTGCCTACTGGATTTTTTATTCTATTTCACATTAGAACTAAGCCTTATACTTGCCAAGAAATGAACACCCTTCCTGATAAAATTAATTAATGGGTGGTGAAATTAATAGAGACATAGATGAAGGAAATGCCGAACATTTTAAGATCAACTCACCGGCAGCACCACATTTCAACACTTTTGCACAGACATTTTTGCATGTCGGTATTGGATCATGGCACGATTTCCGCTCGATACCTAACTCTTCTAGCGTACAGCGTCCACAAGGACAATGCGTAATACGCTCAGGTGCCGACGGGCATGGCCCACATCCAGAATCGCCCATCAAATGGCAACTGAAAAGTAATACATTCACTTGAAAAAGGAAATCGGGCCCAAAGGAGATGACTAGTGCTCTCAAGATTAAAGAGTTATCTGTGAAGCCTTTATGAAAAACACGAGCTTTGGAGCTCTGGACAAGAAATGTAGACACGTACCTTCTCGTACACTGATGAACGCCACACGTGTACATTCCAGAGCACGGCGCTCCACAAGAGTAACTGTCGGAATCGCCTTTTTCATAGCAAAGCACTTCGCGTGAAGATGATCCACAGAAACAAGCTGAAAGGGTTGAAATAAGAATTTGCTCTGCAACAACCAAAACACTTTAGCACCTGGTAGAATAGAGATCAGCTTTTAGTGGATTTGACTTCTTTAGTCTCAAAGCAAAAAAAAAGCGCAAAGAGGCTACTTCACAAAAAATGTATTTCTTGGAATTCTGTTTTCCGATGTGATAATAATAGAAAACAAAAAATAGAAATGAAAATAAAATAAATAGAAATAGAATGATCAATAGAAATAGGTCCAAGTAGTAATCTCGACAAAATCGAAAACTTGGGCCCAAAAAAGGTGTTCATAATATTTTTCGGATACTTCTTCAATCTAACGCCTACAATTTCACTTTTGACATTACCATAGCACTGCTATCACGCAAGATGTGCCTTCGAAATGTATGATCTTACTTTGAATTATTTTCAATTCACAACGGCCGCAATTCCCTTCGTGGCAAACTTGTTCGCAACGATGCTTTCCACAGGCAAGTAGTCGGTCACACACCTTGTCGCACTGAAATGAACAGCTATTTCGTGAAATGAAAAACATGAAAATCGAAATTGTTCCGGTTAAAAAACAAACCTTTACTTCAACAGCCGAACCACAACGAATGGCTTTCTGCACATTACCACAGTTACATCGTTTTGTAAGCATTACTGGACACTCTGGGCATGGTCCCGGATGACAAGGTTCATTACAACGATGTGGGCAACCTGGGGCCCGCTGACCACCACAAATGTTGCCACAAGAATGAGGCACTTCTCCTCTATAATACAACATCAGTAATATATTCAAAACTCTCAAAAGAGCTGTACAAGATGTGGATGATCTCGATACTTACATTGGAGGATTGGGGTTACGCTGCTTACCACAAAAGCAGAAGTAGTTGTACGGGATTGTTCCATATTTTGTTTGACAGGTAGGACATCTCCATCTTAAAAGGAAAATTATCAATATTTATACAAAATCACATGGGGAAATATGCAATAGTTGCACAAAAATTTACCAAAATAGAGTTTTAAAACAAACCCATGAAAACTAAGACTAATTGGTTCAACAAAACGCAAGAAGAAGCGCTTACTTGTTGTCGTCCTCTCGGCTTTTCTTTGCCCAATTGATGATGCAACCATTGGAAATGTGGAACATATGATAACATGTTTTGCAGGACCAAATACCCTAAAACAAATAATTAATAAATTTAATTAGCCATTATTACTTTTTGCTCAATTTTGATTGCTGAAAGAGATCACATGGACAAAAGTAATTCATTGAAAGACTAGAATGGGCTTCAGATATAGTGCTACATTAGTGGAAAAAAGGGATATGCATACTCGCAGAATTCGGATATTTTATGACGAATCTGTTCGGGAACACTGAACACAATTAAGCAAAAGAAAAATGAGAAACATTCATCAATAGAATAGAAAAACTCTCACCTGTCGAGCATGGATAACCTGACAACAAATGGCGCACTCATACCGGTTATCTTCCAATTGATGTATTAGGCGCTCTGAAACATTTCACCCGTTGATCATCAAAGTCTGAATGAAGAAGTAAATATTGTATTTCACCTCTCATTGGCTTGTCCTGGTAGCTTTGATCATCCGAATCCATCCTGCGCACAGTTCTTCGACGACCTTGTACCTGACCGCCTCGGTTTTTATTGGAAACATTTCGGTTTGGAGCTTGATATCCTTGAGCTGTATTAGGAACGACTCCTGCATTCGGTATCCGACTACGATTATACTCTCGCATTGGCCGGAAAGGTCGGCTTCCACGTTGGTCGAAAGCGAAACTCATATTTTCGCGATAGGTCTGTCCTTGCGCCGAAATCGGTGGACCCCTGGTGTTCTCGAAAGGTTCCTGAGTCGTACTGTCGATGAATTCTGGAGGAGCAGTACTGGGAATGAATGGTGCGGCGTAAGGATTGAAGGCTATGTCGTGGGCTGCGTTGATCCCACCTGAACGAGGCAGTATAAAACTAGGACCAATCACAGTTAAAAATCAATAAAACAAAACTGCAAAAATCACCGTCACGGTACTGGAATCCTTGTCTGCTCGATGCTCCGCCGCGTCTTGGTCTTGGAAATTCGCGTTGTTGTGAGACATCCATTGGAATTCTTACAGTTCTTTCCTGGTTTTCAGATGCTGAAACATGCTTGTCAAAGTGGATTTCGTACATTTTTGAGGCAGCTCAGATCAGAACTTCAATGATTTGGGTCAGTACAACAAGACTTACCGATAGCCTCCCTTGGCGCCTCTGAAGGGATTGCATTCCCTCTGCCTCTGGCTTTCCCTCGGTTATATCGAGTCCTACGACTGAAAAGAACTTGAATTGAGCAAAAACTCTCAGAACCAAGTCCAACGGTTTACTATCCCTATAGTAGCAGCTAAAAGACGCTGCTGTAGGGCCAGTAAACCCTATAGTTTGACTTTTTTGGAAATTTCCCTGGAAAAATAAACCTTCAAGTAAGGGAATATAAGTGAACGAACCTGCTTCGTGGCGCATCTGAAGCTGAAGAATTCGCTCCTGCGTCAGGGCGCTGAGGCAGACGGTCAGAATGGGAACCATCAGACGGGATGCTCTCCAGAGGTGCCCGCTCTGTAGGTTGATTTGGTTCAACCAAGTTTGAACCCGCACCTCCTCTTCCTCCCCTGTAGCGCCGACTCCATCTTCGACCACCACCTCTTGAAGACGTTGTTGTTGCCATTGCTACGGGTGCTGTTGCATCAGCCATGACGAGCTGGGACTGAACACAAGGTTTTAAGTAATTACTGAACCGTTGGCCACTAAAGCTGAAAATGACTGCGATCCTCGAACCCAGAGATGGCCTTAGAACGAGAACAGGCACAAAATGGTCATTTTAGAGCATTCAGTTGGCCTGCACCTATTCAAAAGAAACAGTTGCTTCAAGAAACATCCCAGAATCTTCATGCAGGGGCTAAATTGGACTATGTTCTGAATTCTCAAAAGTTTGTTGAGCTAGAACATGGAAGAACAACTGCTACAGAGAAATAGCGCTCGTAAGACTAAACGGGATCCGAGAGTATTCCAGAATATTTTGGTTTGAGAAGCTTTCGACAAAGCTTCGGCAACACTGACATGCTTAATACGACGAAACCAGGGAATCTTACAGAACAGCATAGAACTCCCACGGAAAAGAGGTTCTCAAGGTAACTTTGTAAAAGATGTAAAAAGGAAGAAGCTCGATGAGAGTATAACCAGAGTGTAAATTACACAGATACAAAGAATTCCATCTATTTATAGGGAGATATCGCCGGTTCTTCGAAATTGCGAACTGTTGTGCAATATTTAACTTAAAGGGCGCAATAGTTCAATGCAATTTCGGTCTTGCCACGAAAATGTCCACAGTACACTCAATCCACCTTCCGACTTCTCATTTCCTAAACTGTTTGTTGCAGTTCATTAGCTGTATTCGTTTTCGTGATCAATCTCGCTGGTTCTACTTTTTTATCCAAAAAGGGTTTGTGTAAAGCAGTGGTACACTGTTGCCTGTTGGACCCGAATACCACTCGTTTCATGGTCTTGAGACCAGAACTGGTTTTTTAACTGTCAGGAAATTGCTCTTAATTTACGTTTTTGTTGTAATTCATCATTTCATTCTTCGTAATTGAACGTTTGCTAGCTCCTTATTTGGAATGGATGATTTGTACTGCATGTTGTCCTACTAACTGAAAACCTCTCTTTCGGCAAATCGTTTTGGGTCGTTTTTTTTCGTTTAGAATCTTCCAAGGTGTTTCTAGATGTATTTTAATTGTGAATTTCGCTTTCTGATTTCACCTGAACCATTTACGATAATGAACGGCCTATTTGTTACTGGGAAAATGTGAGAGTTGCAAAGAATCTATGTAAATTCATCATTTTTGCCATTTCAGGTAACTGTCAGCACATTCATAAGCAAACATGGGTCGTATGCACAATCCTGGAAAAGGTATGTCGAAGTCGGCATTGCCGTACCGACGATCGGTTCCATCGTGGCTGAAATTGACCAGCGCCGATGTTCAGGATCAGATTGTCAAGCTGGCTAAGAAGGTTTGTTGAGCAGTGAGGAACTCGAGGGTTCGATTCTCTCAGTTACCCAAGACTGCAGTTTTTTTAGTAGTTTGAGCTTTAATGCTGTGTCACGGCCCGAAATACAAGACTTTGTAGATTAGGATCGTGACATCGGTTAGTTGCTATGAGGTAGTTTATTTAGGAATGATTCCTGTTGTTATTATTGCTTCTTCAGGGTCTCCGTCCTTCTCAGATCGGTGTCATTTTGAGGGACTCCCACGGAGTTGCTCAGGTGCGCCGAGTCACTGGAAACAAGATTTTCCGTATCCTCAAGGCCAAGGTTTGCTTTTTAGTGTTCCTTCTGTTTTGTCTATCCTGTCGACCGGTAATGAACCGGGCTGTGTTCAGGGCATGGCTCCCGAAATCCCTGAGGATTTGTACCATCTGATCAAGAAAGCGGTGTCGATCCGTAAGCATCTCGAGCACTCCCGCAAGGACATTGACAGCAAGTACAGATTGATTCTTGTTGAGTCTCGAATCCATCGTTTGGCTCGCTATTACAAGACTAGCCGCCAACTCCCGGCTACCTGGAAGTATGAGTCCGCCACCGCTGCGTCTCTCATCTCATAAAGTTGTTTCTTTGATTGTTTGTTATAAATTGTTGAGTATATTGTGTTTGTTTACAGTCGAAGATTCATTTATTGTCTTCCTCACAAGTTTAGACTTTCCTTCTTAATGCTGGGTCTTTCTCTGCCCTGGGGGCAACAGAAATCCAGAAAATTATTTCTAGAGAGGTAGTTTTTGTTTTCCAAAGCTCTCATGACATGACTCGGTACTGTTTTGAAATAAGGGGATATTTTGTAAGTGTTAAGATAAAACAAGGTAGAATTCAACTGAATGGTTCAACTCGTCCACAATATTTGTGGGTAAAGGCGGTTGTCATAGCAACAGAGTAGAGTTGAAGGGAAATTTTCACGCCGGTTATTGCAATTGCGACCGATGATCTAGTTCATAATGAAGGTATTTGATTATAATTATAATTCGTTTCTTAATAAAATTTTGATAGAGATTTAGGTTTATTCCGTGGCTGTGCTTTGTTTGGTTGAGGCAAACAGAGCTTGAAAAATTGAGACTTCATATACGAAGGGAAGCATACGCTGTATCATCTTCGCTTGTTCCTTTCATGCTTGAATTAGAACTGAGTTTTTTATACAAAAATTGGATATTCATACAACTCCTGAAGATTAAACCTATTCATTGGTCATTCATGAATGCCGAATATTCAACAAAAATATGCTCGACCAAAAGAAAACGTAACTAACTGAATGCTATCATATGAGCAAAAGAAACTTTGGAAACTGCTCCGTTATTTCTAATAGTTTTTCTTTTTTACTTCTTTTTACTTTAGTTTTTCTATTTTTTTTCTTACCAATTTCCTTTCAGAAGTGAGAAAAAATTGCTATGCTTGTGTCACAATTTTGAATACGTTTTTGTTGGTGCAACGTCATCGAATAAAAGTTTCATTTGCAATAATTGTCAGCAAAATAGCGAAGAATAAAGCGTAAAACAATTCTTCTGGCATGCGCCACGCACTTGACCTAACCCTGATAAATAAGAACATTTGAATAAGTGCCTACTCCACAAAATTGTCCACAACGAAGGTTTCTAGCCCTACCAATGAATGAGGTATCAATCAATCGTCTAGAAGTATGAAAAATTGGTTGAGCTGCAGGGGACCTGATTCACAACGCCGCCTAGAGCCTCTTGAAAATGCCCATACCATTGGCTCTGATCAACAAGAGCTGGTTTTGAGTATTAACGAGAAGTAAAACCACGAGCGATGATGTATAACATACTATCGAAACTAGTACGAAAAAAAAATTAGTTTTCATTCCATACTTACCATGATATAACAGTTCTGTTTGACTTCCACGTTCGGATTCTAGGCATGACTACTGCATTAATGAGTTTTTTATTGAACACTTCACGAGCTTTGTATTTTTATTTTTATTATTGTTTATTTTTATTCGTTTGCTTTATTTATTAATATTATTATGAATTTTTTCTATCTTTATTAGGCTGACGCTTCAGCGGAATCGCCGTCTTCAGAGCGAGAAAGGTTTGTAACGGTGTCTGACTATCCGATCAAACATCACTCCCACCGGTGTTCGAGACCCCAGGGCACTCACATGGTTTAAAGCAGAGCCCCACACCATNGTTCTGTGGATTCTCCGAAACCACCCACCAAATTATGTAGGAACTGTTCAATGCCAGTTTTTGCAGTGGAGATGTTTGATTACATAGTAATAAATCATTGTCTCTCAGGGCTCTGAGAGAAGCTATTCCACGGGAACGCCAGCCTAGTAAAGCCTAGATACAAACTTCATGAAGAGCTCAGGAAAACAAAACAATGATACAATTAGTTTAGCATTAATATAGACCTTATCTTCCATAAGGGAGAAGACTGTGGATTTTGAAGAAGCGGAACGCGCGGTCGCGACGCGGTCAAAGTCTCATTAGGACTTAACATTGTTTATAATATTCGGTTCTATTGAAGCTCAGTTTGAATTATGTAGCAAGGGCTATGGTGGAAGCACTGGTAGCTCCGTAGCAACGATGTATAAAATTTGGAGTTTAACCTCAGTTGCTCAATGGTAGGCTGAGCAACTGAGGTTAAACTCCAAATTTTATAGAAACAATACAAATATAATGGTTTTTGAATAATGTCCCCATATTCAAAAACTTCACTAGTTACATGCATAAGGGGTAGAGTAGTGTCAATTAAAACATCTCTGACCCGATGAACGAAAAGTTCTCGTCAACCATAACGCGTTCATAGTATGCTGTGATCACGTTGCATATTGCCGCAACGCTACCGCACGCTCATTTAACACAATAGCAGCTTCATCGTAAACAATGGGTTTATTTGCGCTCAAAATTCGTGTTTCAGTTGCTTTTTCGCATCACTGAAGAGACTGTTGGACCAGGCAAGACATGCATCGCTTGGCGACCAAACGGCAACACTCTTGCCTTGGCCAGGTAGGTTTACTCCTGAAATCTAAAGCTTACCACTATCAGTATAGCCCAAGATCATTTCAGCGACAACAAAAGTGTGGTTTTATATGATAAAAAAGGAGCAATAATCGATGTGTTGGATGTCAATGGGTAAGATCCTTCTTGGCGCAATGCACAATCAGCAAGACGCGCCGCAACAGCGCGCGTTGTTTCACCTTTTCTAGGACAACTCCTCCTTCTGTTCTACTTGCCATAATATATCAAAATAGCAGTTTAAATAAGTGTTTCAGAAATGTTGTTGACATGGCATGGGATAAAGAAGGAGACGTTCTGGGTATTATTGTGGACTCGTCAGCCTTAGCTATTCTATGGAACATAAACACACGCAATGCTGAACAATTGGATACGGCAACGGGAGCTAAGTTCGTTACATAGACTTTGAAGCATAGGGAAATGAGTTATGTCCGCATCACCTTGACATCACGCAAAGCGTGCCGCGAAGCGTGCGCGCGAGGAGTCTAACCGCACTTTCAAGCAGTGCACTCACTCGTAGCAAGATAAAGCATTGTGAACAACCTTTAAGCGGAAGTTAACCATCACAAAACTTTTAACGTAGCTTTTTGATCGAAAAGGAATGATTTCGATAATATTTAGAGAACTTCCATTATGCCTTGCCTGGTCTGCTGTGTCACCTTTATTGGCTATCGGTAACAGCAATGGTAATCTGTTTATTTACAATCAACAAATGTCCAGGTATGTTTTTTTTTTGATAACAAGGTTTTATTCTTCAAAAGAAGAGTTACGATTTTTGAACTCCCGCTCACTTTGGTATTTCCCAATGAAAAAGAAGTACGTTCTAGAAAAATACCCGTACTTGGTAAACATCAACGAAAAATTACCGGTGTTGCAATGACAAAACAGGATGAAATCCTATGTTGCAGTGATGACAATACGATCACAGGTGAATATGTTAAACTATTCACAATATATTCTGTCTATCAATTAAGCCGGAGTGAGCCATGCACCATGACAAACCTTTTGGGATTCTATAGTTGTTCGAGTTTAGATTTTGGATTGATTTTTTCGCACAAATAGCCCATCGGAGTGAGATTGTGAATGAATTATTGCTTCCACTTCTGGCTATAACCGTCTCGTAAGTGTAGCAAAAAACTCGGCTCGCATGCACCGTTTAGTAACTCAGAGTTACCGTCTGTTCGTCTGTTATCTCTTACCGAAATCTTCTCAATAGTGTCTGAATAAATTCGGTTAGGCTTCCATCAGCGCAGTACAAAATCTTCTCAAAAACGCTTTTTGGCCTTATTTGTACATCACTAAGAAATTCTCAGTAAGAGAGCGCAGACGAGCAAAACAAAGCCCTCACAAGTGGGACAACTAACCAAGAATCGCTTCGCGTTGTGAGCGATCGAGTTTTAAAGTCACATCCCAATCTGCGGAGCCGTCTTTTGATTTTGTACTTCGTGAAGGCTTGGTTTTGAGTTTCACAATATTAATTACTATCTTTCAAGTATCATCAGCTGATGGTGAAACTATACGAACCATGACAGTATCGGGTGAGCCTAACGATCTCCAAGTTGGTGAAGTTAAACGGCCCGGAGGAAATGTGGACGTAATAGTGAGTCGGATTTCTAAATATATTTGGACAAAAAAATAATTGCCAAGAATTGAAATAATTAGTAATCAATGTAAACAGGCATTATCAAGTCATATAAAGTCGAATATTCACATGAAATTATTCTTTTCTTCCACGATTCTAAAGACAGTGAGACGTACGATTATCGATCGTGGCAGAGAAACAGAGCAGTTGCCATGTTCTGCGTGTCTATCCTCAATCGATAACCATATTCAGAGCTGTATAATACGTCTCTCCGACGCTGAAATAGCTAATAATCAATAGAAATTTCAGTTAAGCGCTGTGCTAGGCAAGAAGACACTCTATCTCGCAACATTGTCGGAAAAGCCTACGGAAAAACTGACCACTGACACCGAAAACGAGAACTCGATGAATCTTCAATTTCAAGAAAAATACGGTACAATCGTCGCCCATGTCTGGTGAGCTGTTTCTGGGTTGATTACGTCGAAGAGGTATGTCTTCGGATGTGCCGCGCTTTAGTCCTCATCTCAAAATCCCAGATGATTGATGGCGTGAGAGAAACAGGTCTTCCCTGTCATTTCGCTGTCGCCACAGAAATTTTCCAGCTTTCAGGTTCAATGACGGCTATATGATTGTTGGTTTCGAGAAGGGTTTTGTCGTTTGCATTTCAGCTCATCCTTCTGAAATGGGGCAGGTAAGACTCCTGTCTGTTCTCCTCATAGGGAAACTAGGGAGATTGGTAAACTTTGTTGCACGTGCGTGTTAGATTTCTTAACCGTAGCTAGCCATTGAGGCAGGATATCTTTACACTTGGAAAGCTTCTGGGACTCTACATGCTCAACATGAACACTGCACCCATCCTTCAAGCCAACTCTGCCATGTTTAGGAAATCTTCAGTGTAGCCGAGTACAAGACATACTTGGCAGCGGTGGCAGTTAGTCCGTCGTTTGGGAAGATACTGACCGTTGGTGACAACCAGTAGGTTATCCCTTTGCGCTGTATCGTAAATTTAAGAGGTCAACCACGAAACTTCTTTTCAGAATCAAAGTCCGTGAGATGAGAGAGCTCAACGACATTTTTGTGATCATGGAGGTGGACACCGAAAAGGGTAGGTTTTCCATAAGCTCTTCTTGAAGCCCTGGAGCAATGCAGGAGTCCCATTGCACGGGTACAGGAACAGGGACGCAGAGACTACACATGGACCGTGACACGGAAAAAGGAAATCGCTCTGCTGGATATACTGCCACGTCATGGCTGCGTATCGAAACGACCGGCGGGAGTCGACGCGCAGCCGTAGGTTCGCGCTGAGAGCTCGGCAAGACAGCTCACCAGTGACGTCCCTGCGTCTCTGTCCTCTAGTCGCAGAGGAGAGCCTCCTGTACTCGTGCAAAAGTTCACAACAGTAGGGCCACCAGAGGAGATGAGTGGGGTTTTTTTATTCCCAAAAGTTCTAGTTATGTATTTACAGCCGAGTAAAAAGGTTTTGTGCCTCTGAAGAGTTTCGATGAGCTACTTGTGACAAATGTCAAATTTCTAGATTATTTCCCCGCCTTCATCTTTCCGCTGAGTCGCGTTCGAAGTATAAATGCCGCTAAGGTCATTCTTAAGGAAGTGTTTAGATCTATCCCAAGTGGAATGCTCACTCGATGGTCAATTGGTGGCAGTAGCATCTCGAGGTGGTGGTGTGAGTGTGTACCTAACGAAAATGCCGTCAATGGGCGCAGCTTACGGGAATACAATGGCCGTGCTATCGTCTCTGAACCAGATCACCTATCTGACCGAAGGCGATAAGGTTGGAAAATTGTCAAGGGTTTTGAGGCCTTCCTAGAGGTCGACGTAGGCCTGGGTCACATATTTAGATGTGTTTACTGAAATGAGATGTTTCAGCAAAAAGGTGTCACCATCAATATCGCCATCGAACCATCGCATATTGCTGTGGGTCCATACCACATCGCGGTTGCGACGAACAATCGTGTCTGGGTTTATAACGTCACAGCAGGTTGGAATTTATGCGACGATAACCAGGGCCCTAACCCCTAAGCGACTCCTTTTCATTAATAAGCGACTATTCCATATAATTCTTTATTACTATAATTCTATGAATTCGTACACACTGTCCAACTATTATAGTAATAGGATTTGCGAATGCTCCGCCCCTTCTACTGCGCCTTTCTTCCATTGCCAGTTACTTCATCACTACCTCCTCCATCGTTTAATCAAAGCGTGGGCACCTCTCCCTAGTCGCCTGTAGATTGGAAATCAGTGATAATGAAAGCCATTCAGGGAATTCTCAATCCGTTGCTGAGGGAGAATACCTGTCATCCGTTATCGATATGCAACTCAATGACGAGTTCATATGTGTAATGATGGAAGGCAAAGCCAGACTTCATCGGGTTGGTTATCGATATCGATCGATAATCAATCAATAAACTGTAAACTACCAGTCAACCTTACAGATTCTCAACTCCGACTCAGGACCCGCAATGACGTTTCCAGAGCAAGCAAGAAATTCTCGTCTGGTTGCTGCAGCTCTTTCCAACCACTTTTTTGTCTTCACTACGGAGGTGAGCCTCAGGCCTTGAAGCCTGAGCTTGACAATCTCAATTAATCCCTACATGAACATTTCGTTTGTCAGGCCAACTATTTGGTTTTCTTCTCGTTGGAAGAATGGTGTGTTGTGAGCGAATACCGTCACACGACGCTTATTCGGCAAGTATGTCCCGATCAGGAAGGACTACGAGTTGCCATATTCGATGAAAGGGCTCAAAACTGGGTGTACAGGTAGTTGAGTGTTCGGTTTCAGTTGAAACGATCCTCGATCTCCGTTGTTTCAGTCCTGTGGACGACTCCATGCATAAACTTCCCGCTGTCGGTTCAGCTATACATGTGAGTTGTTTTTGAGACGACCGAGGTTTTTAGTACTTACAAGGGCCCACACTCCTTGTCAGTCACAGAGAGACCAGTTTCCAAGAAGGAGCTCAAATAAGACATAGCAACTACCTTGGGGATCGCTCATTGAGCCACCCATGTCTCAAGGGTCACCGGGGTTTTTTGAGTGGGAGTCAAGACGAGACATTACGGTCACTTCGCTAAAACCGCATTTATTCATATCAAACTTCAGTACAAAGCCGCTCTATGGGAGACCTTCACCATCGATAGGGACACATTTATCGTCTACGATAATGCCAACATCTACGTCTACCTTTTGAATCGCAGCCCAATAGAAGGTTTGTGCTTAACAACTGTTTATTTTTGTTTACCCTTTTCTGTATGCAGAACCCCTTACTTTATGTTTTAACTGGTACACTAAAACTGTAGTAAAAGAATGAATCTAATCAATTTTCGTATGGCATCTGAACGGCGATAAACATACACGTCGCTATGAGAAATGTTTGAGATAAAAAAAATTGCGAAAAGTCAGTTCCAACACATATGGCAACTGAAAGGCGTGGCCGGCGCACAGCGGACGCGTCGCGGTCACACCACTGACCACTGATGAAGTATTAAAATCGATAATAAAATGGATGAAGTGTTTTTCAGATGAGTCTGTGATTTACATTGGCAGTACAAAACTTCCATTTGCTCATTCGCCCCTTATGCTCAGCAAGGTAATTCAAATTTATTTAGAGAGTTACTTAAATTAATTTCCAAATAATCGATAATAATAACCGATGAATTTGTAAATTTTTATAGGGCATCGTACACTGCCTAACATCGTCAGGTAAAACCAGTGGTGTTTTACTGGACAGTCATAGGACTGACACAGTGTTGGAAGGGAAATCCCCGCTAGTGGTAAGGCTTTGTTTACCGATATTTCTTGAAATGGGTCGGAAGGAATCGTTAAAACTCAAACTATTTGATAAAATATGTAATATAGTATGTATACATCATAAGAAATAAGGCAAAATCTATTAAATAATCATAAATTGACCATACATAAGAATATAATTAAAACAATAAGAGAAGGCTTAGAAGGAGTAACTGGTTGTGGATGACCTTAGTCCCAGGTCTCTAAATCATCGAATCTTTGATTATAGCGAAAGTAAAGGTTGTGAAGGAACCTGAATATTTTCCTAGAGCAATTCAAAAGGACAAAGTTCAATCTTAGCCTATGAACGTACAAAAGTCAACCATTTACGAAGAAAACAGCACCTCTAGAAAACAACAAAATCGTTCCAGAAATCCTTGCGTGACAAAGTAGTACGAAAATGATTCGGTGATTTACGAGTAAACACTATAAATAAACAGAAGTCACCGAACCGATGCAAAAACTATAGGTGGAAGGAAAAGAGGCCAGAATAAAATGAGGCTGCTTCGGTCCGCACGAAACGGTCCCTTCATTGATTGAGATCACGGCAATCGATTCTGCTCAAGAGGTAGTGTACCAGATGAAGAGACGCAAGCTGATCTGTGTGATCTTACTATTTCATGTACAACTTTTGTTTAGAATCACCCCTTCCTCAGCGCTTTCACCCGATTCCGTATCCCCCACATGTGGTCAACTAGAGTGTGCGGAAACTACCCTACCATTCACTTGATGCGGGTAATTTCAATCGGTGGTTTCAATCAGCTTGAAAGTTTGCCTTCAATAAGTTACTTTTTTGAATGCGAAATATGAAAGAAAATGTTGTAGGAGATAAGAGGCGCCTCTGCATCTCTAACACTAGACGTCATAGCGCAGAGAAGGAGGGGAAGCCGGCTTCACGGGCTTGTAATGATGTTCCCTTAGAAGGAGTTAGAACGCTGCCGCTTACACTTTTGAAAGGAAACTTAATTTTGAATTTAGTTAATTAAACGGCGAATTCATCCCAGTCCCAGCTTTTTGTAAGAGATAATCATCCCACCCATCCCTCTTTTGAGGCTTAGTCAGAAAATTATCTTCCCGAGGCTAAAAAAGGTTTTCAAGCATCATATTAGAATCACCGATAATCATCCCACAGAGCCAGCTACTCTTCCTTCACTGCGCTCGTGCCATTGTGGAAGAAGATGCGTGCTCACCTACCCCCTAACTGAATTTTCACCTATAGACGCTCACAAATTTTCGGAAAGGTTGATTTCTGAAATAATAAAATCTCGATTTCGCCGATCTGCTGCTACATTACTAATTTAAGCATTACATTTCGACCCATGACATTTAAACGTTTCGTATTATATTAAATTTATATTTTTTTAGGTACGCAGTCTCCTGAAACAGGCCCTGCAACTGAAAAGGTCAGTGATTTAAGTCTTGGAAAGTGCATAGGTGTAGGTAGGTAACTGAACGGCAACCGCTGGAATGCTTTCGAATCAAAAGTGTCTGAGAAAATTCTTTATTTTAGTTTTTATACACAACCGCTCCATAGATACAAAAAATGGCAACATTGAGGGCATAAACGCAGACATACTCAAACATACTTTCCGTTTAACCTAACTACGGACAGTGAAAATTGCAAATGAAAGGGTTAAAAAATTCCCATTAAAGTTCTTACGCAGGAACAAAGCTATCACTAAGTTTGTCATAAAAATTTGATATTCTCTACAATATATATGCAACATTCTATGCATCAGTTCCTGAATAGAGGCGTAGCGTCATTGCATCGCAGCGCTTCAGCGCCGCTGCGCGACTGCACGCTTACATCACAGAAACTCCGTCCGTTGATCCAAGTTGGAACTGGTGTGTATGACCGGTAATGAGGTAGAAAGTGAAAAAAAATTGTTCTTGAATATACATGCTAGGGCTTACAGGAGTTCATACTTAGGCGAAGATGCTAAAAGAGAGTCAAAAAGTCCACCACTGAGGGAACCACGCTCATTCCCTTGTGTGGCCCACCCACCCAATATAATAATCGAGTGTTCTTGGTTCAAAAGCTATGAACTACCTTTTTGACAAAGAATGGAAAATTTGAGCGCAATTCTGGAATTACGAGTGCATTTATAGTCTTCAAATGTCGCTGTCGATGATGTTTTTGACCGGCCGCGGTTGATCTGGCCAGTAGTCCAACGGCGCCGGTGTCACCACTGCCGGTGTGGTCGAAGTCGGCTGTGTCGTCGAGACCGGCATCAGGTTAGGTGTGATAACCGGTTGTGGGGCTGAAAGTTCGGAACGTTGGAGCGCAGACGACTAGAGTGCTGTCTATCGATGTCTGACATGGTACTTACCACGAGGTGATAGAGAATCCAGTCGCACCGGTGGTTGAGTATCTGGCGCTCGATAAGATGGGATTTCAGGGCGAGTATCTAAACTTTGGAAAAGTCAAAAAATAATTGTCGGTTTGATTGTCGCTAAAAAAGCTCAAATATCAAAATTATTGACGCCTAAACATTGTATTTGAGTTTGATATACAGATAGGTACATTTTTTGGGTAAATCAAAGTAAATAAGGTAAAAAAGGAAAATATAAATTTAAAATTTAGTTGGAAATCTTTCTCCTAAAAACTAGAAGTATTTGGAAAAATATCAATGGTTTGGGGAAAATAATTATAAACAAAACGTAAAATATTAATTATCAATAAATTCTGAAGATAGTGAAATAATTGACGGTGACTCACTTGCATTAGGATAGTTGAGTGTCGCGCCGTTGTCGTAGTACGCGGTGTTCCGGGCAGGATTTGGCTGAACTTTTATTCGTTTAATTTTGTAGGCTCACCCTAAGTAAGCGATAAAAATGGTTCCTGAGATTTTTTGCTAAAGTGAACCTGTAACCCCCAAGGATAGCACGAGCGACGCTGTCGGATCAAAAATGGCCCAGGTAGGGCGTGTTAAAAGCCTCGAAACAGGTCTGGCTGACGTACACGCCTAAAGGTCTCACGGTGTTCTGGAGACTATAGAGGCTATAGCCAGACAACTCGTCCAGATGTGGGTGTGCTGTTGCGACCTTCCATGCAACTTTGTCCTCACTTTTTATTCCGGCCCATTATTTTACTACTTTTCTGAGGTTGACTTTTTGTAATTCTTCAGATAAGACTATCTCCACCTTTTCTTCGCCATTTTTGCACTATTTTGACTATCTCTTTCATTATCCGTCTTTAACTAGATACCCCAAAATCATCGTGAACTGTCGTTTATTCTCAAATACGTCAAGGCACGATGTGCACTGAAATAACTTCACTGTTTTTCTACTATACTTTGTCTGATTCTAATTTATTCATCTTCATAGTTGATGGGCAGCTCTCATCGTAAGAACCTGCTTTGATAGTTGACCTTATCAATATTCTGAAGTTTGTTGGAAGTTTGGTGGCTTATACTTAGGCAGAGTTTCCCCTTAGATACCTAATTTTCATTGCAACTAACATAACATACATTTGATTTTTGTATGTTAGCAAGCTGGATAAGCAAAGTTGTTTAGAAGTAAACGCGAGGATGAACTGGTGGAATGATGAAGTAATGACTCGTCTCATTCTTTCTCTTTCTAACTTAACCTCCTCCCCTATCTTCCCCCTTCTCTTGGTACATTCAGAGCTTTATGAACAGTCCAGAGACGGAAACAAACTCCCTACCCCTGCCGCACTTGGGTGGAGATCCAGGAGTTCTATCAATATAATGGTCCTACTCCCTTCCAAATCGTCCTCTGACATTTCCCTTCTTCTATCAGTTTCCTACAGGGATCAAGATTCAAATGAAAACGAAACCTACATTGCCAATGTCTCGAGTCGGATACATGCCAGCAGCTCTTAAATATGACTTTCTGTAACATCGCATAATGTACACGAAGAGGATCGCTGCAAGCAACAAACCCTGGAACGTGTCCCAGTTAGCTCAAATGGCAGATTCAGAATTCCTGGGCTGAGCATTACCATCACAATGAACTGTTACCTCAATAACTGCGAATACAACAGCTGCGGTGTGCTTGTTCTCATAAATCGGAGCTTGTCCTGTTTGGAACTGAATATAGCTTACAGCGACCGTGACATTTATTGGGGAAGGGGCTTTTGGTGAAGTTGACGGCGCTTGTGTCGTCGTCGTTGTCGGTTCATGAGGTTTTTCTGTTGTTGTTACCGCTTCTGTGGTATTTGGTTTCTCTGTAGTCTCCCTGAAAAGAGTGGATAAAAAGTACTAACTATAGCAGGATCAAATTTGAGCCGAAATTTTCAGATAAACTTACTCGGCATCGTCATTCTTGACCACCAACTGGGCATGGGCTGAAAAAGATCACTGTGACTACTGAAGGAGAAGGAAAATCTTATTGCAATATTCAGAAAAAAGTCCGTTTAGAGCGAGAGCCTTGCTTTCATGCCGCCAGATTTCATAGAGGGATTCCCTTAAATATTCCCCCCATCGGCAACTTGAAAAGCATAGCTCAAACCCATGACTTTCAAGGAAAACTTTTAGGTTTCATAGACGATTGGAGGGTAAGGGTAAATGGGAGGTTAACTCAAGCATTTCATAAACTTCGCGCTAAGATATTCTTAGAAAAGGTTTCTAGTAGACGGAAATACGCTGAAAGTAGAATGAGTTCACGATTTTGAGGATTAGCTCATGTGCTTGAGCAAGAGATTTAGATTGTGGTAAATTAAACGAAGGGGCTGTAAAAGAGGCGGTTTAACGATACGATTTCAAAGCAGGAAGGAAGAGGAAAATCTCATCCCATATGAATTGGTTATTTTGCTATTCACATGGCATGGCGTAACTTGGAATTGTGATCGATACGGAATACTCCACTAGTTACTCCATTGCATCACAAGGAAATTCTGTATTTTTTGGAATCATACTTTATACGGGTGAAGCAGGTAATGAAGTAATCAAGGTAGATCACAGTCCATGGTATGCGCCATGCCACCTACTTTTGCTTAGTATCACGAAAGCATTTGCATGCGTTCTCGGTCTTTCCTCACAGGTACCGCTAGCACCCAAAACTTAACTCAACTTATGGGCCCAAATGGGATAGACAGTCCAGATCCACTAGGTGGGATGGTAGCAGCGTTCAACCTCCTATGCGATTCCATGGCCAATCAATCGGCTCAATAGAAGTTGGCATTGACAAGAAGTAATTTGATTCCCACCTTTGGGTTCGCTAATCTGCACAATACTAGCGGCGGTGAGCGTCTTATCCAAAACGTCTTCAATGTTGATTGTTGAAGTCAAGTTGCCACCAGAGTATTCGATGAACCAAGTCAGCTTCTTGCTGCTTGGAGTAGCAATAGCTTGCATCTGAGAATATAAAAAATAACTATGCAATCAAATCATATAGTAAAGTAAAAAGGCCACAATAATGTTGTTAACAAATGGAGAATATGAACAAATATTAAGAATTATCGTTGATTTATTCTATAAATAGAGATAATCTTGTTAAAAAGCTTCATCGAGAACATTCCGGGTGTTTAGGTTGTTATAAGGAAATCTCAACACAATGTAAAAATCGGGCTGAGCCGGGGATCGATCCCGGGACCTCTCGCACCCTAAGCGAGAATCATACCACTAGACCACTCAGCCACGACGACCTCCCACCGAAGTCTTGCGAATGTCGCAATACATCTTACGCGTTGCCACTTTACGATGGGACACAGGTTGTGCGTAGCAACTTTGCAAATGAAATCAAAACGCTACAACTGGTGATGCAATGATAAAAAACATAAACAAACAGTACTAAACATGAACCACGAGCTCGGAAACCTGATTTAGAAAAGCCATATTTATAGAGGAATTGGGAATTAAAATTGAGACACTCGCAATTCTCAGAACAAAAAAAAATTATCGTATCGCTCATTTAGGGATTTTCATGCATCCACTTCAATTTCATTCACTTTAAACCGTACCTTTTCACCTCCCATGAAACACTGCATAAGTCTAGAGGTGTAGTTCAGTCCGCGAAGCTATTTATTTGGTATCAAAATCAGTGCTACGAAGTACTAGTAACTATTATAATTGAACTATAATGTAATGGTGCATACCTCAGTAACAATATACATTCCTGTTTCGTTTCCTTTCGATAATGTCTCTCCAGTACATGTATAGTTGTTTACAGCAATGTTTTGTACCTGCAAAAGTGACTAAAGAAGTCGATATCTGTATTATGTATGTGGGAGTGGCTGCACTTGCCACTATCCCATTTGAGCACCGCCACTGCCACACTCTGTGGATCAAATCCCGAATCAAATTTCGGCTAGGCTGACTGAGTCCTCCATTATAAAAGCCATCGTACCTTTGTCGACGAAAAAATGCTGACTAGAACATTGACTAAGTTTAGCTTCAGTAGTGTATAACCGAACACACACAGAAAATTCCCCTTACGACATAGATCAAAACCGGAAGCGTGGCGCACCCGAGGTGAAGTTACTAACAGCTTAATGACTTTAATTTGTTTGAAAAATGCCCATCACGGTCGTGTTTTCTCAGCAAGCGCTTTAGAAAACCTACTTTAATTCAGTCAAGTGGGAATCGGATCACTATTCCGCAACTATGCGATGTTACCCTTGTTACCCATAACCCGAATTGCACTAGCATTAGATACCAAAAGACGCTCTAATACAGAATCGGCCTAACACTTTTTTTAAGCTTTCAGTTCTATCAAACTATGTTCCAACCTGTGAAGACAAAAGCTCCTCACTTGACATCATATTTACAAAAAATCTACGTAAACCATTACTTACCATAATTTTCTTGATGCTGCCGCATGTTATATCAGTAGCGACAGCACTTTTGAGATTAAAGTTCTGTACAATGAAGACTTTGGAGACATCGGCCTGAGCAAGTAATATGGCTGAGGCGATCAGAAAAACCGTGAAGGGCCACGGCATCTGAATCAGTCGTGTATTAGAAAATTAGTCAGCAATACTTTGCAAGCTTGATAGGATGATATGAGCTTGCAATGCGCTAATTTCACAAAAGAACCCCGACAGCTTATTAAAACAATAACCAATAAAATTGGCTGAAAGACTGATTCCGCTGTTGGACGAAAGCTACAATTCACTCAGCTGTCCGGAAGTGCAATACATAAAAAATAGGGAAGCTGGATGCTCATAAATGACGAAAGCGTTGGCAAACAATTTGGGCAATTGATCCCTACACATAAGCTCAGCTTCTTTTATGACGGCAATGTGAAGATGCTGATAGTGCCATAGCTGGTACCATACAGATCAACAAACATCTCTTTCTTTCTTTCTTTCTTAAAGTCATTCCTGGGGTCCACGAAATTTTCGTCTACTCAATGAGTACCGGTAAAACCCACTGTTTAACTCGGAAACTGAACAGTTCTCCCCAGAAAGGTTGAAGTTAGGGCTTGAAGCAAACAAGCCTGCAGCGCGCTCAGGTAACATCCAAACCGCATCGCGACCGCTGCGCTTACGTGTCATATCCCAAGCTTGGGTTAAAAAATTGGACTGAAGTTCATAGAAGAAAAGTAATAAGTAGATAATGGTCCGTTATGTGGCGTCCAATTTCAGATGGATGTACGCATGGCGTATATGTGACTATACTCGAGATCTCCTCGATTGGAATACGTTCGCACAAGCGGTCTTACTGAATGCGGATGCTGAACTAGGTTTGTTTTTTATTGTTATCTTCGCATAATACCAATTCATGGTTTATCCAATCTTATAGAGCGATCCTCCAAGGGTTACTGCTCAAAAAAAGGGAAGATTGGGAGAGACATGTGCAGAAAAGGCAGAGAAAAAAAGGCAACGCAAAACTGTTTAGGGAAAACGGGGTTTTGCAGCGACGAAGTCAGAAGGCAAGCATTATGGTGTTCTACAGAAAGATCCAGCTTTTAGAAGAGATCGTTGAATACTGTCTATCGAGTCGAACCAGAAATCAGAATAAGGAAAGAAAATACATGGCTTTCTGGAACTATAATCATTGTGGAATTCCTTGTCTCAGCATTAGTTTGAAATCTCGTTTTACTGCAATCGAGAGACTTGTTGCCCCTTTTAACATCTAAGTATAAATCGATAGAGATGGTCAGGGCCATATTAATTTGTGAACATGAAACGTTAGCGATTATCAAAACGGTTACGGTGCCTAATCCTTGCAAATGGCATAAGAGGGATGCTATGCCATTTGAAAAGCGTCTCAAAGGTTGGTCCTCCGACTAAATCATCTTTTTCAACGCCTTTGACGAGGTCATCCAATCAAAGAGTAATAACAAGAGTATCAAGAATGATTTTGACAGGCTAATAGTTTTTTCACGCTTTAGTTTTGAACATTTTTCTCCATTTCACACTTCTTAGTCTTACCAGGGAGGGGTAGTCTACTTATCTTGGAACTTTGAATTCAGACCCAGATAAATCGATAGAGTTCTGAATGCTGTTTACGAAAATGGAAATTAAATCTGCAAAATGGTTCTCCTTAAAAAGTTATGGGGGCCCGAATTTTGCTCGACAGCAGTATCAATTGCAAATGCGAACTCGTCGCTTCCATATCAAACGCCCACGTGACGAAGTGGTAGTGGTCTCGCTTCGTGGGCGTTAAATGAGGGGCTCCTCCCCGCCATCCCGCCATTGTCAGCACTTTTGCAAGGTGTTTTTTTCATTTTATCAAAGGCTCTCTAACGTTTTCTGACATTTCTTTAAACAATTGATACTACTGTCGAGCAAAATTCGGGTCCCCATAACTTTTCGAAGAGAACCATTTTGCACTTTTAAGTTCCATTTTCGTAAACAGCATTCAAAACTCTATCGATCTATCTGGGTCTGAATTCAAAGTTCCAAGATAAGTAGACTACCCCTCCCTGGTTAGTCACTCGAGAGTTTGCTACGAAGCCATTATGTTACCCCATTTTCTTATTTACCGACAATGAATTCCCACATAATTTAAAAGTCAACTTGGTTCATCATAGGGCACATGAAAAACAAATAAATAAAAAACTGGTAAAATAAATGAGTAAACAAATCATCAGTTTGTTAGAAAAATAAGCCGGCCAAAGCGGTAAGCTCGAAATCTCTACATATAACCTTCTTGACCTCTGTTCCCCGAAAGATTTCCTCATCTCTTCTCCTCTAACTAGAAATATCTTCTTCCTTGAAAGAAAGTAAACGCAAATGTTTATTTATTTATTCAATAAATTCTAAATAAAATAAATAATAAATTTGAAAGTAATTTAGCCAAGTCAAATCATTCTCAGAGCGCATCAAATGCACAGCTCAGGGTAAAAACAAAGTTAACTACTAGACTATCAACTTCACCAACTTCTTTTACAGTGGTTTCATTGGACTCAAGCCAAACCTTAACAAAATCCCTTCAACCACTGTAAAAGAAGTTGGTAAGTTGGTTAGTCACTTTGAAGATGAGCAGTTAGGTATGTGAGAAACGTCAACATTATAGAACAATAGCAGCAACTGATAGGTGGACGTTATCATTTTTGGAGGCATCGATCGGATGACTTCAGCAGCAAGCTGAGCAATGGAAGCGGCTGGAGAGTGATTACAAGTGTTCACTTTGGATGATAGCAGGCAGAAAGGGGGGAAATCTTTGATGAAAGTATTTTTGATGAAGAATCCGTTGCCAAAGAGCTTAGGAAAAGGGCTCTGGAGAAGTGCAACAACTGAGACACACATGCCTGCAACAGAATCCCTACCATGCCTATTAAACTCTAGTTTGTGATTTTGATAAGCGGGCCGCAGTGATAAAAAAGGAATCACAGATTCTCGCATTAGCTAAGACTTCCAAGCCTTTGTAGGAGCCATACACCTTCAAAAGATAGGCGATATTGACTATGGGTTGAATGGGTGGCGCGTACAGAAAAAAAGTCCGGAATTTCAGATTAGTACGAGAGAGATGAAAGATAAGAGTATAAGTAGGAACAGAAGTATTTAGCAGACGGTTGAGAACTGAAAGATTGGCATCTCATCGAAATGATTGTAGCCAAAGCTACGCCATGCATTCGATTTGTGTATGAAATCGCAATACGATAAGATAGGGAAAAGCATTTTAAAGTACTTTTTGATGACCTCTTGGATTTATGAGCCGATAGAAACGTACAGAAAGCTTGGGATGGAAGTAGAGTGTGCGACGGGAGAATAGAGATCCGCTATTTTGACAGCTGTCATTGCTGATAAGAAAAGGGCAAGCTACTGTAGCCCATTCTCTGTTCCCATAACATCAACATCAGAGAACACGTAATAGTTGATACATACTATACAGTCTATGCAGTCATACATACTATACAAATTTAAATGACATGCAAATAAATAAATAAATTGCTAAAAAGGGGCAAACCCTTCACAAAGGCGATGACCCGTCCAGTCTCGCGGATGAGTCATTGGGCTGATGACGAAAAATGTGACACCCAAAGAGAAAACTTTAATAGATACCAGCAGAAAATAAGAAGGTAGAAGTGGTAGTAGGAGCATTTGGTAGAAGAATTCGAAATTAAGCAGCCGTTTCTCATCAAGATCTCCATAGCTGAAGTTATGCGATGCATCCAGCGTGTTCACAAAATTCTAGCTCAAAAAGTTGTTAATATAAAGAAGAAAAAATTGCTAGGGGTTCCCATCCGGAGAGAACGCTTTTGGGGCTTTTCTACAATTCAGTGAAATGAAAAATTTAGGAAGATTCAAATTTCAAACCGTAACATGCAGAAAACCCTATTCCAAAGTAATGCCGCTTGCACCTACAGGCTATGCGTCATCAAATTACTTGTATATTCATAACCGTTTTTTTTTCTCGAATAAAAAAAATCCCGAGATTCCTAAAATCAGCCGTGCCTATCAGAAAATATGATATTTTTTGCAATAGCAATCCATCGACGGTAGTTGATTTCGGAAAGTGAAACTTCACAGGTGATTTTAACCGCCTACAACAAAGTTACGCGTAGGTGAGACCGCAATGATAAATACCTTTATCGGTGACGATAGCAGACTATGTAAATCATTCCGCGGTGATATATTCAGTTTGAAAAATGCCACTCATCGACCTCATGCTGCGTAAATGACACAATGCAGATCGAATTCGGCCAGTCAACGGCAAAATTGTTGACCACAGTTAACTATACTGAACTATACTCTATATAGACTACATAGTTGAGGAAGCAAAAAGGCAGGCTCACTTCACATGAAGAACCTAAGTTCTAAACATTTATGCTTTTGTATTTTACTTCACCCCTTGTCACCTTTCACTTACCACTTCGTCATTCGAGGCTGTATGACTATTTACAAGACCATAACCCACAATTCTAGGTTCAAAAAGAAAATGCGAAAAGATTCAAGACAAAATTTCCAATAAAGAAGTTTCCGAGAACTTCGATCCACGCTTTTTCGAAATTGAGTTTTTTACATGGGATTCTCCAATTCTATTTATTATGGGCTCCTAAAAAATCAGTGACAAAAGTAGAGACCATGATTTTTTCAAAGAATTCGGAGATTTAAAAAAAAGAGAGAAAATTTGTCGACGACTGACCGCCCTCGATTTATTCAAATCTAAAATAGTCAACAGCAGATGACATGCAGTCGCTCCCCACTTGACGGCAAGTTAGGGATTGAAAAGATTTCCTTCATTGAACAACCCATTAAGAGCAGGCGTCCCGAGCTTATTATCTTCGCCACTAGTTTCACTACATTCAGAGTATTTCCTTTTATTCAAGTAATAGGCATATTTCAAGGTAAATAAAAGTATTATAATGGCAGTAACATTAAAAAAGCCGACTCCGACCACCTTCAGCTCATACTTTCACCTCCACAGGATCAATGATTTTTGCAAAAACTCAGATTTTTCGTCGGGAAAGGATGATGAAAGACAGGTGACTGGGTTTGGAAGATAAGGAAAAATGAAAAAGTCGATAAGGTTCAGCTGCAAAACACGCTAAAACGTCTGGTCTGAGAGAGCTGTCACTATCAAGCACATCATTTTTAGATAAGCCCGTGATTGATGAGTGAAATGAAGGACTCCAACAAAATTTCATACTTTGAACTGATATGATTGATATTCAACTACGATAGGACTCACGGGGGAGTTTCTTGGATGTACAAATAAATCGTCAACTACAGTGACTCATTGAAAAGTCAATAGCGTGCAGGAAAGCTGTGCAGGTACAAGAGTAGGGTCCGCTTCGCATATGCCCAAACTCGGCCTATCCAAGAAAATTTTAGCCAAACCTCCCATTACTGGGCACAAAACAATGCAGTTCAAGATATGCAGTGAGAAAGGGAAAGATCGCATGGACCTGTTTGGTAGGAGTCGGCCCATGTCCTACCCGGATAGGGGTTTTGCCACTGCGTTGTTTCTATGACATGTTCCAGTGAATAAACAAGCATATCTATTCACTGGGACGTAAATAAGTTTATGAGGCTGATTTTTTCGCCTTTTGAAGAGTTTTTTACAGCTCTTCGCATATTCCGACACATTGGAGACGTTTCAATGGGCTTAGCACTGGAATCGATTGTATCGATTGAAGAGAAGACGCTGTTGGCAGCCCATGTTTCAATGCTACTCGGGCGATACGATCAGGCCGAACAGCTCTTCTTGAAGAGCTCCTGCCCTAACGAAGCGCTTGCAGTGAGCTCATGCTTCAGTCGATTTGTTCGATAATCGATTTTTCGCACGATCAATTTGCAATGGCTTTTTCAGATGCGACGCGACCTGTTGGACTGGTCAAAGGCATTAGCACTTGCTGAACAGCTCTCCCCATCAGAAATCCCCCATATTTCGCGTGAATACGCACAACAACTAGAGTTCATGTTGGTCTATTTTTTTGCGAAATGGCGTCATTATATCGAAGATGACGTCATCGACTGTTATTTAGGGGCGACTATCCCAGTGCATTAGCTCACTACGAAAATGGTATTATTGAAAATCCCGAAGAGGAAACAGAGCAGGTAAATTTGAATGATCAACAGTTATGAAGCCCCCTCTCGTCCTAAGTTGCTTTATATCGTCGCATAAGCTTTTCTATTTCTAATTTTTTGGCGCCTATTTATTACAAATATTCAAAAGCGAATGGACCTAGAGATCATAGCTATGCCCAGCTACCACACGACGCCAATGCTCGCACAGCTTGCCTGTCGCTTTTCATTTTCAAAAGAAAGAAAATGGGCCTTGAAAAATGCTGTGCTTCTCCCTGACCTAGTCCTTTGTCCTAAGTTTCTTTCCTTCCGGGTTACGTTGGAAATGGGGAAAAGTCAGTTGTTTGTGGGGTTGTAG